GTGTGTGTGTGTGTGTGTGTGTGTGTATCCCTCACCACCTATCCTCACTGGATAGGAGGCATGATGTGGGGAGCAGGATGGAGATGTGGGGGATGGGCAGTCAGGCCTCCCCTTAAGGCTTAGGCCTTGAGGCACCTGAGAGGGCCCCAGGAAATGTCTAGTCTCTGTCCAGGAAGAAGGGGGATAGATGATGAGGACGGTCAACAGTCTTCCTCTCCCGCTTCTCACGGTCTCCATCCTGCCCTTCCACACAGTACTTCTCCATCACGCAATCCTGGCAAAGTGGATGTGGTTGAAGATAATCCCAAGCCTGTGCCATGCTGGTTGGGTTGACCGAGCAATTTTCCTGGTCATGGGTAAGACTCTGGAATGACTGCGCATGGCCCCAGTGAGAGAGTGGATTTGGTTCTTCGGTTCCTTGGCTCCAGCCTCTGGTAAAGAAGCACTCTTTCTTTTGTTGTGTCTTCTGTTTAGAAGCAGGATTCCTCCGTATCGCCCAGGCTGGCCTGGAACTTCTGAGCCTCCTTCGTCTGCCTCTCGGACACTGGGATGAAGGCCCGCACCACCGTCTCCTGTCTAGAAATCAGTGTTCATTCTTTCTTGTACAGGGGCATCTTCTTCCTTAGAGGGAACCGATAGGAACTCTGGGACCCCTGTCGTCCTTAAAAAGTGGGAGTATACATATGTACATGCACATTCATACCTATACATACACACACATACACAATGTACACACACATATATACATAAAATTTCCTTTGAGTTAGGGTCTCATTATGTAATCCTGGCTGTTCCGAAACTCACTCTAGGCCTTGAACTCACAGAGATCCACCTGCCTTTGCTTCTGAGTGCCGGGATTAAAGGTGTGTGTCACTAAACCCAGCTCATCACTTTCTGTGTGTGTTTTTTGAGACAATGTTTCACATAGCCCAAACTAGACTCTGACTTGTAAAGTTTCCACTGCCCCCTAATAGTGCTACAACTCGGGACTATCTTCACCAGAACTGGGCATGTAGTCATAAAAGAAATGGGCCAGAGATCTGGGTGGCAGTTTAGGATGGCTTTGAACCCTGACCCTCCTGCCCTCTGGTCACCTGTGCTGGGACTGGCGGGCCTGAGGGACACGAGGCCATTCTTCTGCCAACCGACCCCTGACAAACACCACACCATTTCTCATCTCTGGGAATTTGACTTTGAAGCACTCACAATATTGGGTTCAGATGGCATTTGGCTTTTCTCACACAGCGTAAGGTCCTCAGAATTCAACATGTATTAGAATTCCCCTCCTCCTAAGGGGCAATGATATTCAGACTGTCAAGATGGTTCAGCAGGTAAAGGTGCCTGCTTCCAAGCCTGGTGACCTGAGTTCCACATGGTGGAGGGGATCTGATTTCTTCATGTGGTCCTCCCCAGACCTCCAGAGCTGTGATATGGTAGGCAGGCATGTACACACACGCATTACATATGTACACACACATACACACATAGGCACGTGCGCGCGCACACACACACACACCCCTAAACAGATAAATGGGAAACAAAAAGAACAAACACTAATCCATCATATGTACTGTGGAAGTTACCAGAAACAAAACGAAGCTGCTTATATCGAGTCCTAACAAAAATACACACATAAAAAGAACAAAGCCAGGAGGCTGAAGAAGCGAGCCTCTTATATGCACGCTTGATCAGACGGACTATCACTGAAGGCGGCCAGCAGTGTAACCTGAGGGGACCACTTCTGTAAGGATGTCTGTCTAGATACTGTCCATGGTGGACTGGCCCTTGGACACCCTGCCCCTCATCTTCGAGGCTAAAACGCTCATCACTTCAGTTGCCTTCCCCTCTAACCCTGTGCCCTGTGAAGACACCCATGGGCTCTGTGTGCAAGTTCAATGTGGCCATGGTCTCTGTTTATCCACAGGTGAGTGCTATTATTCTCTCTGTTTTTCACAGATTGATCCTGGTAGGGTGATGTGGGTACAGGAAGGTAGAGGCAGGAGGATTTGAATGCCAGGCCAGCCTAGACTACATAGTGAGGTTTTGTCTCAGAAAATACATAGTGAATACATGACCAGCTTGAGGAATATGAGACTTTCTCTGACTAAAATCTCTCTATAGATCCTAGCTGGGGGTATGGTTCAGCGCCTAGCACACACCAGACCTTGGGCGTGGTCCTTGACAGTTACCCGTCCACTCACTGATGGGCAGATGAACTGCTGCAATCCTTTGACTCTTCGTTGTGACTTTTGCTCCCGAGGCTGCCTGTGAAGGAAGCCAGCGTGTGAACAGCTGAACTGATTGCCAGGACTGAGGCTGAGCCATGGCCTGAGCTGAACCTGCAGGGTCAGGACGCTTCAGCTGGCAGATCTATGAAACGAGGATTCTCCGTCATCAAATGAGTTTCTGGCTCTGTGCGGCTTGAGCTGGCTATCGGTGCGTTTCCCAGGAAGGTGTGTAGTTTTGAAACTGCCAGGAAAACAAAAACTGAGCAGAACCAGAAGGAGGAGAAGGAAGGGGAGGAGGGGGAAGTATTTTAGTATTTTGCCAATGCTGATGACAAACGTAAGACGTGTTGAACAAAATTTTGTACCTATAAATACGCGAGTGGCTTCTGCCCGGTGCTCACCAGTGACTGACTCAGGGGCTGATGAGGAAACGGAACAAGATTCTGGGTTAGATTACAAAGTCCCTGTCACTTCCAACACGTCATACAGCACCAATTTCTGACCTTTAAAGAAAGACTTACTGAAAGGAAAATTTGGGTAGTCTGATAGATTTGTTGTGTAAATTCTGTATGAATATTTAGAAAAAAAAAGAACCAAATTATGGCACTGTGTGACTGTGAGCTGGCTATCGGGTGCATTTCCCAGGAAGATGTTTAGTTTTGAAACTGCCAGGGAAACATAAACCAAGCAGAACCAGATGAGGAGGAGGAAGAGAAGAAGGAAGTATTTCACTAATGTGAGCACTGATGAAAAAATGTAAAACGCGAGGGCTTAGTGATTAAGAGCACTGGCTGCTCTTCCAGAGGATCTGGGTTCAGTTCCCAGCACCCACCAACCATCTGTAACGCCAGTTCCAGGGGACCTGACGCCTTTTTCTGGCTTCTGCAGGCACCAGGCATGCATGCGACGCACAGATACACATGCAGGCAGAACACTTATACACATAAAATAAAATCTATCTTGAAAAAACAAACAAAGAATCAAATGATGAGTCTGCCCTGGACATTCGCCACTTCAGTCAATGGATGGCCTGCAGGGATGGGACTTGGAGTCCCTCTCCCCCACCACCCATCCTGTCTCTTTTAACCTGGTACCTGGCACTCCATCATTGCAAACGCCCTGACCCAGGGCTAGGAGGACAACTCTGCGTGTAAAGTGCTTGTACCACAAACACATAAGACCCGAATTTAACCTGTGTTAACAGCGTGGTGGTGTATGCTTGTAATTCAAGAGCTGGGGAGGAAGAGACAGGCAGACCCCTGGGGTTCCGTGGTCAGCCAAGATGGCTGAGCCGTGGAGTCACACTAGGGAGAAACCCTGTCTCTAAAGACAAGGCGAACGGCACCCGACTCTGACTTCTGTCCCCTACACACACATACACACACACACACAGAAAACAAGAAAGGAGAAGAAAACCAGAGAAAAGGAAACAGAAAAAGGCCACAAATTAAACTGTAGCCCTGGGATAGATATTTCCCGACTGAGAGGGACAGATTGAAGTAACTATTGTCAGAATGGAGTCACTGTGTCAACCCTCACCAAAACCAGAGGAAAGGAAGTGGGGAAGAGCAATCCAGGGTGGTGGCTGCTATTGCAGAAGCCCCAGGCCTGCCGTGACCTTGCACTGAGATCTCCCGCAGGCGTGCAGTCCCTCTACAAGGCCACCTACTCAGCAACTGCTCAATCTCTGACAGCACTCCTGCTATTAATCACTGTGGCCAACAATTATTGTTTCACGATATCTGATGAGATCTTCCTCAGTTTTATCTTTAAAAACTGTCCCAAGGGCATGGAGACAGCTCGGGGAGTAAAAGTCCTTGCCACTAACCCTGCTGACCTCCATCTATCTCTGCAACCCATGTAGTGGGAGAAGAGAACCAGAGAAGATGACAATGACGATACTAAGTTAATATTCAGTGGCTTCCTACTGCCTGAGAGACACTATGGGCTGCTCTATGGGCAAGTCAGTGCTGTCCCCATCCACAGGTAACAGGGTCAGGCTGCTTGCCAAACGTCACGCCAGGCAGGCAGAACTCTGGTCCTTGCTCTGCTTTACCCTTTCCCCATTGGAGGGGACAGCCTGGGAACTTGGCTTGGCTGAGCAAACATGCTGCTGGTGCTGAGCTCCCCATACAGACAGCTGGAGGCCTTGGCTGTGTGAGGGGGGTTGGGGGCAGTTGCTGGGGCTGAGGTAGCTGCAGGCTAGCAGAACCAGGCTAGCTCCAGGGGCTGGTGGAACCAGGCTAGCTCCTGGGGTCCTGGACCCTAAGGCCATGGAGTCACCAACCCCTGACTGTCTTCCTCAGGTAATCAGGACATTTGGGTCCCTCTGATTGGGTGGAGAGGATTTTAGGAGACCCTAGCCTGAGATAAAAAGACCCATAACATCAAGGGGTACCCTCCTCTTTGCACCCAGGGGGTGCAGTGTCCAAGTGCTTTAAGTGAACCTGGCCCTGCCCACAGAGATCCAAGTGGAGTCCTGCTCTGCCCCAAGGGTGGACTCAGCTGGACACTCTCAGCCTTTGCTCATTAGGGCAAGTTATCGACCGCCCTGAGCCCCACTTCCTCATCCCTAGAGTGGATCTCATGGAAGGACGTCCAGGATTGCTGAAGGCGCTGAGGGGACTCTAGCGGGCAGGGGCGGGGGGGGGGGGGGTTATGGGTCTGGGGAGGGTGGTATGCACCTAATACAAAAGTTGTCATTGTTAATGTCACCACCTCAGGGCTTGAGTGACGCCACCCTCAGCCCTCTCCTGACCCTCCTGGTGACAATTCGGTTTCCTGGGAAGCAAAAGGACAGGTTCATTGATCTTCTTGGGGTTCTGTGGCTGAGCCTTTCTGACCTCTATTTTGAACTCCTGCCCAGGAGGAAGAATGGTCACTGGTGTGTTTGCACAGAGTCCGATCCACTCCCTGATCACCTCTGCTTCTCTTCTGCGCTCCCAACCAGGAGTCAGACTGGGAACAGGGTGGTGGAGGGTGAGGCTCATGGTCAAGGCTCAGCAGCAAGAGGGCCTTGAACTGATGATCAAAATTTGTTAAAAAGTTATGATAGGTTAGCAGAGAGGGTATCTCTCCAGGATGGCAATCTGCACGCTATCCAAATAATGTCCAAGGATGAGGTGTTATCTTTAAAGGAAAAACCTCAGACCGTGCAGCATCACATGTAGACTATATTTGGGAGCAGCATGCTCTCACCCTGAGGGGACCAGAGAGAGCATGAATGGCTGGCTTACAGTCCCCTTTCCTTACAGGGCCAATCCTGGACCCCAGGGCACCGAGATACAGTATAGACCCACCCACGGTTGAGTCACTTCTCTTGTTGACTCCCCAAGTCTCCCTGGTAGGGGTGACCAGAGCAGCATGAGAGACGGGCCTGTCTGGGCCTTGGAATACCATCTGGGAATGCGGCAAGGCTGTCTGGAGGA